CCCCCCCCCCCCCCCCCCCCCCCCCCCCCCCCCCCCCCCCCCCCCCCCCCCCGCCCCCCCCCCCCGCCCGCCCTGACTACTAATATCTAAAGCAACCTTTGTAAAAACTACAGTGCAACCATCGTCGTAAACTAAACCGAAAAAGTCATTATTCTTACCACTTTCAACAATTTTGTTTAGCTTTGATAGATTCACTGGTGGTACGTTCGTCTCTAGACGTGTTTTACTAAAATAGAATAAAAATAAAAATAAAAACGTTGTTACCATGAAAAAATGTTGACTATTATTTACTCAGATGTTGGTGACTCGCAGTATTCATCTTCTTCAAGAATAATATTCATTGCTTGCGTAGAAGGATCACGTGCCGATGATAAACGTGACTGTGATGCCGATGCTGTTGCACTAAGACGCTCTTCTTCGTCTAGTCATAATAAAAAATATATCATAGAATTACGGAACAATAAAATATACTCAGAAAGATTGTTTAATACCTTGTACTAATGTTGATAGAGAGTCAAGTGGAGGAGGCCTAGGAGTCGAAGTTGGGATTGTTTGTGGTGGCGGAACATTTTCTTTTTCTGTTCTAAAGTAAAAACAAGACTTTTAAATACAGGTTACATAGTAAATTATTGAAATTATGTCATGCAATGCGAAGTATAGTTTCACGCGTGGTGAGTTAGAGACACCATTAAAAAATGCAACAAAAGAATTGTGTTACAAATCAAGTTAGGTGAAATTACACCGATACAGATCAATGTGTATTACAAAAAATTTGTAAGAACTGAAAAAATACTCAGACAAACTTCCAATAAATGTTTTTAACATGCGTTTAATCATCACGTTATCTCTTGAATTACAAGCATTAAAGAATGCCAAATCTGATAGATGCTAGATGCAGAAAACAAAATCAAACAAACGGATCTCAAAGTATTGATGAGTATAAATTTAGTATGTGTATGTGATATGTGAAAGAAAAAGTGTGGAGACTTGTTGCCACTTACAAACTATACTCTTCAATATCACTCATATCGTCATCTCCATCATTAGAGTCCTGTCTAATTATGGAATCATCACTAAAGTTATAACTAAATATTCCGAAATATTTTCTCTACTATTGATCTTAAATAAATTAATTAACATACTTTGTTGGTGTTGTGGTAACAAAAACGCCAATTTGTTCTGTGAACGGTTCATTCGTTGGCAGTAAATGTTTACGACTTTTTTTTCGAACATTTTCACCACCATCATCATCATTACGTAGTCGATTATGCAACAGCTTTTCAGCTAGAAGATAGTATGTTGCTGTAATATGATTGTATTGATCTTCATCTAATGCACTGAGAAAAAAAAAAAAAAAAATCTTTATTAATCCAAGTAATAAAAATGTAAATATATATTCTTTATTTACTTTAAAATTAGTTCTCGTTCCGAAATATTTCCATCGATCATTTCTTGTAAAATTTGTTCGTGATCATCGTTTGATATTGTTTTATGAGAAATTAATGGTAAAGAGTTGAGATAATTATCATCTTCACTGATATCATCGTCATCTTCCATAAGATTTCTATACCATTGATCATTCATTACTTCTTCTAATGTTGCACGTTGCTCCGGTTCTCTCACAATCATTCGATCAATTAAACTAAATATCAAAAAATAATAAATATATATTATGACGAAAATTTTCAATAACTTTAAAAATTAGATTCAATATGTTCTATTACTTTTGACATTCGGCTGATATATTCGATGGTAATTTATAACAACAATCTAATATCATCATTACTGTTTCACTGTCATTTGCCTCTTGGAATGGAGCACGTCCAGTCACAAGCATAAACAATATCACACCAAGTGACCAAATATCTTAAATTAATAACAATATAAAAGTTTATAAAATAATTGATTATAATGATAAACAAAAATTTAACTTACCAACAGCCTCAGCATCATACGGATCACCAAGTAAAATTTCAGGTGCCGAATATGCAAGTGATCCACAACTAGTCAATAATTTTTTTCCTGGTGAAAATTGATTTGAAAAACCTATTATTTAAAATAGAAAATAATATTATAATATAAAATTTTTATTAAAATTTATCAATTTATTTCATACCAAAGTCTGTTAATTTAACAATGCCTTGTTTTTCAAAAAATACTAGATTTTCTGGTTTTAAATCACGATGACAAACATGCATTTTATGACAATAATCTAATGCACGACATATTTGACGAAAATATCTAAATTGAGAAATATTATGTGAATATGAAACATTATTTTAAATAAAAAATAAAATTTTTCTACCTTCGAGCCATATTTTCATTTAAACCATTTGCATGTTTCATAATATAATCATACATATCACCACCATCACCAAGTTCTAATATTAAATATAATTTATTTGGTGTATCAATTACTTCATATAATCTAACAACATTTGGATGTTGAACAAGTTTCATACACATTACTTCTTGAAATAAATGTGCTTTTGATACATCATCTAATTTTGTTTTATCAATTACTTTAACGGCCACCTCTTTCTGTGTAAATACATGTCGTGCTAATTTAACAACAGCAAAATGTCCTGTACCAATTGTTCGATCCAATGTATATAAACCACTAACAACATTTCGATAATCAGATAAACGTCTTTCACCGGTCATTTTTTACTAATAAATGATAATAACAATATTTCCAACACATCCTCCTTCTTCCTTCTATTGTCACTGTGTTATTTAACGTGAACACAGATACACACACTACAATTTGTTTATCTTTTAAATAATATCAGATAAAAGTGAATTGAGCAGTGTCGGTCGTATCAGACAAAATAATAATTAGCAATTGATTTATCATTATCATACAAAATAGAAGATAACGTATCTATAAGAGAATATAATTGAGCAATTTTGTTTTTGTAAAAGACATATAGAAGAAAAAAAAAATGAGAATAGTTTATGTTGTCAAATATATTTCATTCTCTTCATCTGCGTCGTATATTCAATAGTTTTTTTTTCCGAAAATGACTTTTTATCGTTATAACAAAAAGAAAAAAAAATTCGTCTCTTGCTACAACAAAAAATACCAAATATATGTAAGAAAAAAAATAAAAGAATACAGGAAATTAGTTAGTTTTAGTCTATCTAACACTGTTTATCCATATTGTAGCACAATATCAATAAGAAAAACTATGTTAATCTTAATAGAAAATCGAGAAATATGTGTGAAAAAAGAATTAAAAAATTCTGAAAAATATTGATTTTTTCACAATTTTTCAAAAATATTCTATTTTTATTAGCAAAAAAAATATGATCAATAATTCTAACCTTTTTTTTTTTTTTTTGGAAACAGAAGAAAAACAAACAAGACATCATTAATAAAAATATTTTTTTAAAAGTTTTTAATACTGTCTATTTCAAGATGTTCCCTCTTACATTCTTTCGGGACATATAATAGAAAAGAACATCTTTCTCTATTGTTTTGAATGTTTACATGTGTAATGACGACATCAGGAAAAATTCTCATTCAAAGGTTTAAGTAGAACAATATATAAATATGTTTTTTCATTATACATGACGAATTATACTCATTTGTCTTCTTCTTTTTTGTTTTATTTCATGCGGATAGTTTCGAAATAGGTCGTACTTTAAAAATCGATATATATATTATTTTACATAAACTTGTTCATTTCTTTGTATGAAAAAAATGTACTTAGAAAATGTTTGATTTTCTTTTGTTGTTAATTTTAGTTTTTTTTTTTTTTTTTTTTGTTTTGTTTTCATAGAAAAAAAAATTCTGTTTTTTTAAAAATGTTTTTCATTAACTCACATGTTTCATCAAACAATTTATTTTCTTCAGATTTTTTTTTTTCTTCTCCTTTCTTACATGTATATACATTTTACATAAAAGTTTCTGTGATTTTTGTTCTGTTTTTCTTCTTTAACAAAAATAACAGACCAACAGACTAGACTGTCTGTGCCATTTCTAGTTCTCCATAATTAGAAAAAAACAAAACTTTTTTTCTTTTTATCTTTCTTTTTTTTTTTTCTTTATCTTTATATTTCACTCACTACAAAAGAGTCTATAAATAACCTGAGTCAATGTGGCGTGCTGTGTTTTCAAATCTTTCGACACAAATATAAAAGTGTTCTATTCGATAGAACATCAACTAACAGTCATTATCATCTAACAGTTTCTTATTCGTAACTAGAATGCACAACAAATAGCAACTCAAATAATAGAGCATCTCGGTCAGGTCACTCTGTTACTTCAGTGTGATTCCGTTACAACTTTTTTATATTTTGTTTTTCTTACATTGTTCGAATAACAATACTTTCAGAGCTTTGAAACATCTTAAATTGTAGCGAAAAGTGTGCTTAGTATTTTGAAATGTTCCCACACTCTACACATCTCTTTGTTTAGAAAATATTGCAGAGTACGAGAACATTTTTGTCCTAAATGAGTAAGTGAAAATAAACTTGTTGGCTCAGACAGTCAAGAAATTCATCATATAATTTCAGTGGATAAAATATTGCGAAACCATTTAGTTATCATCATCGCCAACAATATCTAATTGGATTCTAAGTCTGTATCATATACACTAAACGACATATTATGAAGTCTCTTAAGTAATTTATTTACATAGATATCTTGATCCTAATGGATCATTTTACAAACATAACAATCAGCGTTATCGATTAGGAGATAGTAGGGGGTGGCAAACCACTTCCTCGTTTGGATACAGTTACTCAAAAAATTTTGACTTACTCAAATTTTTTAAGAAATTTAAGTTGAGAAACTGCCTTTTATACACCTGAGTAAATGATTTTCTCTAGTTTCTGAGAGTAACTGAGTTACTCAGAAAAAAATTTTAGTCAAAAAATGCGTTACTCAATAAAAAAACTTTAGTTACTCAGCAGGTGCACCGCCCCCCCCTCCTTCACTAAACTACTATCGAAAACACTGATAACAATACCTTAACACTTTATCCTTTTCATCTAAGAATAAGAGTGAACCATTTACATTATGATTTGAATAGACGATTAACAGCCAATGGTATCCAAAAATTGTTTTTAGATTAGATCGTATTCAATGAATCTGAAAAACATGTAAAGTCTCTCTCTTTCTCTCTCTCTCTTTGTGTATGTGTGTGTGTGTCGTATTTCTTTCTTTTTTTCTCCATTAAAGTATGCATCATAGTAAAAGTTATTATTAACTTTTTTTTGTTTTTTTCTTGTCTCTATATTCTCATTCAAAAATTGATGATTGTGTAGCTTTATCATCTTTAACTGATAAACCTGTCTTCGATATAGAACAAAAGTTAGTTTATCCTTATTATTTAAATCATCTGAACAATCTATACGCTCGAAATATTCAGTACTACTAATATTATCTACTTGTTTGTTTATTTACAAACTCTATTAGAACAGTATCTAGTAAATATTTGAGTTTGTGATTTTGAGAAGAATAGTCCTATGCGCACAGAACAATTCCATGCACAATGATAGACATGTATAAGACGAGCAAGAAAAATATATTATGATCCGTTAACCAATAGACAACCATCTTCTAGTCATTTTCACTATTTGCTTAGTCGAAATCTAAAATATGAAATAGATCTATTAGCATTAGAAAAACATTGCTTCATTCGTCATTTATTTTATTACTTAATACTGCAGTCTCTGACTTTTGCGGGAGATAGAAATGGGAAAGGAAAGTATCTAAAGATTTAGATTAACCATCCCTTAAAACGTGAAATAACAATGAATCAAGTTCTTATAAGTCTAATAAATAATTAATAATCGGTGCCAATATAAAACTCGCGAATACCGATAAATTAATATCTAATAATTCGACAAAATATCAGATACTATTGACAAGTCGACAGTAACATAAATGATGAAAGATACTAAGCTCTAGGATTATTTCGAAATAGAAAAATTGCCATTTTCTTTATCTGTAATCATTTATACAGAACTTGAAACTTCGTGGAAAAACTTACTACACTCTTCTGCAGCTGATTCAGCATTAGTAAGTTGGATTCGTAACCCTTCAGAGCTTAAAGATTTCCAAAAACCCAGGCAGGAAAACTTGCAAATTTTTTTATTTAAATAAACCGAAGGCTTTAAACTGGTTCCAAAACGTATGTGTTCGCAAAGTTTCAAGCAATTTCAATCAAAAATAACATTGCTATAAAAATTTTTATTTGACGCGGTAATAGTTCGAAAACCGTATTGTTTGGAAAACTCATCAACTAAAGTTATTTTACTTTCCGCATTAAAATAAACATTGCCATGATGATCAGAAGCATCGAGTATCTATGAACCATGCATTTTTTTATATTAATAGACTATAAGAATGGCCGATTCTGATTGATCCCAGCAGTAGTATTATTCCACCTGAACAACGGATTTCGGAGCCCTCACTTACATCATGTTTTGTAAAACAGAATTTGGACTCTATTCAAGAGAAAAAATCAACAGATTGCTATGTTCATTTTCCAAGATACGAATTGGTTTCCCAAAGACCATCCCCGGAAAAGCCGTTTTTTGAAAATTTCTCGAAAAACATTTTTGCTTATGGCTATCGAATAGTGAAAATCGCATATCTGTAGTATATTATGTTCCCGAGTTGTTCAAAAAATAACCAAAAGACACTGCTTTTTGAAAACGATAGTAGTCTATTGGAATAAAACTACTCTTCTTCTAATTATCGGAAACTAGACAAAAATGCTGATTAAAAAGAAAACTTTACTTCAAAGCGAATAGAAAGAGCTAAATAATAATCATGTATGATGTTACGCACGCTCTGGCAAATACATAAAAAAAAAACTCACCGCTAGACATGCATTTTTTTATATTCAAACTACAAAAAGCAAAAATATCGATTTTTTCATGACATTCTAGTATAAAAGTTGTTGAATCGATATAAACAAACCTCTATCATCAATCAGATACATTTTCTATGTAAAAAAAAAGACTACTTTTAGTCGTATGTTTACTATTGTACACACAATGCCATAAAAAAAAAACCACATTCGAATGATTTAATAAAAATCTTTTCTTTTTTCGGCTCAAGTATTTTCTCTTCCATCGTTTACCTGTCGTAAATTACTTAGTTATTTTTATTGGTTCAATTATTGGTTGATATAATTATAATTATGAAAATCTTTTTCTAGTGTTATTGTACAAATAAAATCGTGAAAACTTTTTCTTTCTATTTTTTTTCTGTTAAAAATGAATATACACATTCTTCTCACTAAGTTTTTTTTTCTTGACGTGTCCTGTTTTTGTTCTATATATTTGACTATAGAATGTCAAATAGTGGAATATACAAATTATTAACTTAAGATTAAGCAGAAAAGATGATACTATTGCATCGATTAGAAACAAGGCGTATAGACTTTCATCTTTAGTCAAAAAAAAAGAGATATGAACTCATACTATTTTTCTAAACAAGACTTTATAAATATATTACCTTTTCATGAAGAATTTTTGAAGAAAGAAAGAATTTTACACATATGACAAAACTGGATTCACATTCTATCGGTGTCATAAAAAACGTGTTGGTATGTATTTTTCTGTTATTATTCTTATTACGATGGACAAAAGAGTAATAGAAAACAACATTGATATGTATAATAAAAAACAACAAAAAAACAACA